TTGGCTGAGTTCTGCTTCCCATCCCCACTGATTTCAAGAGGTGCAGGGTTAAGCCCACACTGAACATGGTTGCCTGTATTCCTCCCTCTCGGTCAGAACTCAGTGCAGCTTCTTTTTGATTAAACTCTTTAACAGCCCTTAAGGTCTCAGGGCAGGGAAAGTCCCTTCTGTGGCAGTGAAGAGTTTTGATCTGGGTGCCGAGGCTGACTTCTGGACATTTTAACAGTAGGTTGAGACATTAGCACCTAGATTCATGTTCAAGTTAAGTAAAAACCTGAAGCTGGCTTACATCCAGTTTTATGTAGAAGCTAGGTCCCCTGGCCCTCGGGTTAGTGCATCTGTGTCTGGGTTTTTGGATGATTGTGGCTGGGAAATGGCACTGAGCTGGTGAAATCCTACCACTGATGACTTGCTACCTCAGGTCCCTCCTGGGAACATTTGTTCTGATGCAGAAGTGCCCCATGGTGAAGTGGTGTTACGTGTGCAGCTACATGCATGACCTTGTGGCTGGCTGGTGTCCCTGCCCTCGTGAATGGAGGTTCCCTCTGGAGAAGGAGGCATGGTGCCAGTATAACAGATGGGGCAGGAGCAGCTGCAGCTGGGAGACCATGTATGATCCTCACGTGGACTAACTGTCTGCAGCAATGTCAGAATGATCACTTGGCTTTAACATGTCTGTCTCTGCTCAGGGGTGCTTCTAAGTTAACTCCTGCTGGAGGCTGGGTGCATAAAGGGGGCAGGCAGCACTGATTACGGCAGGCAGTGAGACATGCAATGCTAACTCTGGCCAGTCCTGCCGATCAGCAGGGAAAGCAGTATGTTCCTGGGGGCTGCAGGCCTGGGTAATTGTTCCAGCTTTGTCTAGTGCACTATGTGAGAGCAGCCAAGCTGTGCCTTTGCTGTATCTCCTCTCAGAATCTCATCTGTCCAGATTGATCTCTCCTCCAATGAGGAGAAACCTTACCTCTGTACAAGTCATCCTGGCCCCACTGGGGAAAGGGGGTACCTGGAGGGACTGCTGTTCTCAAAGTGGATTGATCTGGTGGGGTGGGCAAGTCTTCAGTATGTGCATTCTGGACAGGAACTCTACTGAAAAACACCTGTGCAGGTGGCCCCAAAGAAGCCTGCAGAAACCACTCAGGGATAACTCTGCCTTTCCCAAATGGTGATTCACTTGTAATGACAGCAGCCAAGGGCACATTGAGGTGTTATGAGGAGCAGATCTGCACAGGATTGACTGTGCTTTGACTGTGCCGCTTTCTTACTTGTGCTATGACTCCAACTTACTCCCAGAACTTGAGCATTAGAGGAAAAGAGCTGAAAAGCCAGCCAAGCACTACAGGCACCCCTGTTTACTTAGTACAGGAGGAGAGTGGTGCTTTAGAAGCTCTCCTTCCCCTCTCAAAAGGTGTGGATGGGAAGAAGTCCAGTGGCAGCACATCTGCTTCTCTTGAGTGCTCCAGTGTTCTATTTTGTTGTGGTTTGGAGAACACCTCAGTGCATTACTGAGCTGCCATTAATGAATGTATCTTTATTTGGCACTTGTTTACCTGGAAAGGCACGGTAGATACAGATCTGACTTTCCTGAGGGCTAGAAGAGGAACAGTGATGTGATCTAACTCAAGCTAGTCCAACTAGTTTGATATTTTAATGCAGGATGCACATCTTAAAGTAGAGAACAGCAGAGGCAATATTGTATTCCTTTCCACTGATAAGTAGTTTGAAAGGTGACCTGTGAATGGGCTTAAGGGGAGAAGGATCTTCTGGATCTAGTCCCTTGGGTTTGCTGCTTTGTATTGAGGAGAGAAGCTTTCAAAGCACTGCATCTGCATTCTGCACAGAGAAGAGTTATTTTTAAGTTGACTTCTTGTTTTAAGAACACAGGTCTTGTGACCTTGTGATGGAGTCATGAACTTGGGGAGAGAGACTGACATCCCAGATGTGACCCAGAAAGACCGGATAAGCTGTGACTGGAAAATGAATGTGTGGATTGGTGGGTTGGTTTTTTTTTTTTTTTGTTTCTGACTGGCTTGAACTCTGCTCCTACCTGCTGTTACTGGAAAGGAAGAAACGCTTAAGAGTTCTAAAGCAAAGCCAAAACTAACAGAAATGTTTCTTTGCCTTGCTCTCCAAGGGTGAGGCCTCTGAACTTCTGATTCATGTCTATCTCCATCAAGATAACTTCCAAACTGAAGAAAAGGAGGGAAAAATAAAGGAAAGCAACCTTTCTTTGCAAATAGGGGGAGCATGTCATGACTTCCTTGATATTTGCAAGGTTAAAAGGAGGGGAAGAATATTTTGGGCAGTCTCTACGCTTCAAGTATCTGAACAAGGAAAATCCTCTTTTTCCTTTTCAAGACATTGGAAAAATATATATCTTTGGGAAAGTCAGTCTTCATGTACTCCCACAGCAGAGGGAACTTTTCCCCAGCTTTTCCTGTGTAGCTGGATTACTTATGGTTGCTAGCTTTCTGGTGCATGTGCAGCTTTGAAAAAAGTATCTTGGTACATTGATCCAGTGCCTGATATTACAGATGTTGCCTCAAATTGTGTTCTTGCTAACTAGCCTGGCTGTGACTTAACAGGGTGCTTTTTTGCTCTTGCTTCTTCCTGTTGAAAGATGTTCTTGAACTTGCATGTTAAGAACTTTAATGTCCTCTCTAAGAGCTGCCTGGTTCCCAAGCTGTATTTCCTCTTCTATGCCATGCAGTTTCTGGACTTCATCAGTTCTTCTCAGTCTCTTTTCCTACCACATGATTCTGTCAGTGTTGGTCAATCCAGATGCACAGAAAAATGGACAGAGAACTAGTTACTAAAAGTCTGTTCTTTGAGCTTCGTCTGGTTGGTTTTAATCTGTAGAGTTAATAACTGGATTCCAAAAGTTTTTAAAACAACCTCCCTTCTCCCCTCTACACCCCCCACCCACCCTCAAAAAAGAAACTTTGAGGAGCTATCGAGCATTTCAGCGTATGTTTTGATTGTGTTTTGAAACATGAAGAACTAATAGGCCTTGAAAGTGCACCCCCACCCCTGCCCTGGAAAAGCACATAGGTTGACCTTGGAGATGCAGCCTTGTCATTGTAGTTTGACTTTGATAGTGGGTAAAGCCACAGCAATGGGGAGATAGGATTCTATCAGTAAATGGAAGAAATGAAAGAAGCTTGTGATTTGACCCAAAGGTCAAATCTCTATTAATTGGAATTTTTGAACAGGTCTCCTTTGTTGATTACCTATGATGAATTTGACCCAAAGCTCATCTACAGTACCTGGATATTGAGTCCTGAAATAAAATAAAACTATGTTCTACACAATGATTTCATAGTAAGTGGTTTAAGAACTGCTTGGTAAATCCTTAGAGGATTTTACATGGTGAGCAGTCATCCAATAGGGCTGTTCCTAGTTGATTTTCAGTGTCACCTGCTTGGACTAATATGACATCTCTGACTTGTGTGACATGTTAGCTTGTGGGATGGCAACAGGTTGGAAAAGGTATTGTCACTCAGAGCTGCCCGGACCATGTATTAAGATGAGATCATGTGTGCAATCTTCACTTTCCTAATCAAATTTAGGGTTGTACTTTGGGATAGGCAGCCTGATGGGTTAAAATATCTTAGACTACAAGGAACATAAAAAAAGTGCTGGGGTGTATGAAGAAACAGTAGGAGCAGAGGGAAATTGCTTCTATATTCAAGAACTTTAGTGCAGGACCCATCTGTCCTTTACTGCACCTGACCGTCTGTGTGTGCTGCTCCTAGCATGATGGATACTTTGAGCTGCTGTTTTAGTAACATAAATCATTTATAATAAAAAAAGGCACGGTACTTGTGAGGCTGGCACTGGGTTTTACCTTCCCACAATGCCAAAGTTGTAATAAAAAAAAAAAAAAAAAAAAAAAAAAAAAAGATTTGAGAAAGAGCTACAGGAATGATTTCAAGTTTGGACAAATGCCCTTATAGGGACAAACTTAAGGAGCTCAGTCTACCTTCTTCTAGGCAAGCTAAATAGAAGTGACTTAACATGGTATGGTATGAACATGTTAATCAGGTTCTCGCTAGCAGGGGACTGCTTACTTAGTCAAGCAGTCAAGAGCAGAACAGAATCCAGTGGCTGGATGCAAAAAGCAGGAAAACAAACTAACCATAAGGTGAATGTTTTATGAGTCAGCGTAATTAATCTTGAAATAATACACCAAGGGAAGGCCTTAAGCTTAGTCTGGGCATCTCCTAAGAGATCCTGTCAGTTTGTGTAGTCAGACTGAGCCCACAGCTCAGTCTGACTTGCATGATAAAGGGAGGTTGGTTAGAGCGAGCTGAATGATCCCTTCTGCTCTAATCTGAGTGTTGTGGTCCAGTGGGTTTGTTTCAGGCCATGTGCAAAAGTGCATGCACGTATCACCTGTGGAAATCGGCCAATGCATAGGCATCAGCCAGGACTGTGCATTTTGCGTCCTGCTGCACAGATGACATCTTTATATAGCCAGGGGCTGGATGATTTATGTGCCGAATTCAGGCATGCAGCCATCCTTTAGGAACCTAATAATACATAAGCGGGCGTTTACATGGAAGCAATCTGTGTTGCATAACTCAGTAGCATCTTGTAACCGAGAAAGTGGGCACCTCAGAAGCGGGGTGCAGCTGGCAGGCGGTGCACCTTGCCCAGGTGTGCGGGAAGGGGAAGGCCAGCTGTGGGCGCGCTGGGGCTCGGTGCTCGGGGCCCTGCAGCACCTCGCGCCGGCACCTCAGCCCGGAGCCCAGCGCTGGAAAAA